CTGAGCATGATTCAAGTCCCAAACCTGGTCTTGAAAACGATGCCAGGTGGGACCAGCAGTTAGCGTAATGGCTATGTCGTTGAACTTCCATGTAATCGACCGTGGTTCGAGTCCCAGACCCGGTGGCTTAAACTCATGCCGGGCGTGTGTGTGTGCGTCCCCAAGATCCCAAGAGGAGAATGGAGAAGGGATTGCGGCATGGCCATCCCCTCTGGGGGGTGATTTCTTGCTTTCTGTCTCTCGGTCTCGCTCTGTCTGTCTGACGAGCACACGCGCCCTATAGCAAAAATACACCTCTCAAAAAAAAAAAACGATGCCAGGTGTGTGTTGTGTGTACTCGGAATTCTAAGAGGCGAATGGAAGACAGGCAACTATTGGCATGACCATCCCCCCAGGGTTGATTTCTCACTCTCTCTCTCCAGTGAGTGCATGTATCCTAGGGCAAAAACCTGGAAAAAAAAAAAAAAAAAAAAAAAAGGAGAGAAAAGTATCTCAATTTCTAAAGTAATAAACTGAGTTCCTTTCTTTTTGATCTCCTCATCCATGTCCCACTGTGTTATTTATTTACTTTTCTAAGAGGTTTTTGCCTTAGGGCATGTGCCTGGGGGAGAGGGCTGATGACACATATGCAGTGGAGAGGGAAAGTGAGAAATCACCTCCCAAGGGGAATGGTCACTCTATAATCCCTTCTTCATTCTCCTTCAAGATCTTGGGCAGATATGTACACACCCAGCATGAGTTTCAAGCCACCGGGTCTGGGAATTGAATTGCAATAGGCCATGTGAGAGTCCAGTGATGTAACTTCTATGCCATTTGCTGGTCTCATTCCATTGGCTTTTTTTTTTTTTAAAAGAGAGAGATTTTTACTATAGGGCACATGTGCTTGCCGGAGAGACAGAGAAATAGAAAGTGATAAATCATCCCCCAGGGGGGCTGTCCATGCTGCAATCCCTTCTCCATTCTCCTCCTGCAATCTTGGGCATGTAGGCATGTGCACCCGGAATGATTTTGAACTACCAGGTCCAGGACTCAAACCATAGTCGGCTATGTGGGAATCCAGCAATGTAATTACTATGCTATCTGCTGTCTGCTGGTCCCAAGTCCACTGGGTTTTTTTTTTTTTTTGTAATTATTTTATTTAACTTTATTTCTTTATTTTAATTTGACCAGAGAGATGGACAGAGAGAGGGAGAGAGCGCGCAAGCAAGCAAGCCGCCAGGTCCAGGGATCGAACCATGGTCAGCCATGTGGGAGTTCTAGCACCCCTTTTTTTTTTTTTGCTATAGGGCACATGCACTTGCCAGAAAGACAGAGAGACAAAAAGCAAGAAATGACCCCCCAGCTGGGTGGACACGCCACAACCCCTTCTCCTCCATCCTCCTCTTTGGATCTTAGGCATGCACGCACATGTGCTCAGTGTGAGTTTAAGCCACCAGCTCTGGGACTCAAACCTTAGTCGACTACATGAGAGTACAGCAACATAACCATTATGCCAACTGCTGGTCCTAGCTTTCTCTCTTTTTCTCTGTCTCTGTCTCTCTCCAGTGAGCTCATGAATGCTCTAGCAAAAAAAAAAAAGAAAGAAAGAAAAAGAAAAATGCATTATTGAAAATTAAAAAAAGGTTATTTAAAAAAAGAAGAAACAGCGGTGGCGTGGTGGCGTGGTTAAGGCACTGGACACTCCCACATGACTGGCTGACTACAGCTGGAGTCCTAGACCTGGTGGATTGCTTTCTCACTTTCTCTCTCTCTGTCTGTCTCTGGTCAAATTAAAATAAATGAATGAATAAATAAAAATAAATAATTTTTTAAAAGCAAGAAGAAATATACTCCAAAATGTTTTGTAGCAGGGCTGGCAGGTGGCATGGTGGCTAAAGCACTGGACTTCCACATGGCCAACAGGTGTTCAAATTCCGGACCTGGCAGCGTAAAAATCACGCTAGATGCACGTGCACGTGTGTCCAAAATCCCAGGAGACTGGAGGAGAGGGTACTGAGGCATGGTCATGTGCCAGCGTGGTTATTTCTCACTTTCCTTCTCATCATCTCTTTTTGGTGAGTGTACATACTATATTACGACAAAATCTTTTTTTAAAAAAAAACTTTTTTTTTGCTGCAAAAAAACATAAAATTTTTAAAGAATTATTTTACTGAACTTTATTCTATTTATTTATTTATTTTAATTTGACCAGAGTGACAGAGTGAGAAAGTGTGGGGGGGGAGTAAGAAAGCAAGTCAAGCCACTAGGTCCTGAACTGAACCATAGTCAGCCATGTGGGAGTCCAATACCCTTAACCACTACCCCACCTGCGGATCCCAATTCCATAAATTTTTTTAAGTCCCTTGTATGAAAACGAAATTAGGCTAAAGAATTTCTTTATAAAGATAACAAAGCAAGAGCATTGGACAATGATACAGTGGTAAAATACAGCAATCTGCAAAGCTGACCCTGCACGAGAGGGTTCAGGGTCCGCATCTGGAAACCTCCGGGGAGTGCCAGGGACACATATGCCAGTAACCTGGGCCTGGATGAGGCTAAGGGTAAATCATGGCATTAAGACTCTGTTAGGGTTCTAGCTCTAGCTCTATCTCTCTCTCTTTTAAGAATTATTTTATTTTATTCGTCATCATTATATAGTTTTAATTTGACCAGGAAGACAGAGAGAAAAAGAGACAGTGAGAGGTAAAGTGAGAAAGCAAGCTGCCAGGTACAGGACCGAAACCACAGCTGGCTATGTGGGAGTCCAGCACCTTAACCACTACCCCACCTGCAGTCCCCTCTAGCTCTCTCTTGCTGACAGAAAAAATTAACTAAAAGAAAAAGAACAGATGACCGAGCAGGACCTAGGGTGATCATAAGGGTGATTATATCCAGGAAGGAAAAAGGAAAGCCAGCCCAAAAGGCCCCTTCTGTGTCAAAGATTCTCTCAAGGAATAAAGGAAATGACTAACTTTTGAGTAGTTTTGTATATTAGAGCTTCACTGTTCAATTCAGTAGCAACTAGCCACATGTGATGTTTTTAAAGAATTAATCTATTTAACTTTATTTATTTATTTATTTATCATTTTAATTTGACCAGAGAGAGAAAGTGGAAAACAAGCCACCAGGTTTGGGTCTCAAACTGTAGTCAACCATGTGGGAGTCCAGTGACCTTAACCATCATGCCACCTGCTGACCCCAACATGTGATTTTTTAAAAAAAAGATTTATTTTATTATTGTTATTTCAAGATTTATTTAATTTAATTAATCATTTATTATCTTACAATTTGCTATAGGGCATGTGTGTTCACCAGAGAAAGAGAGAGAGGTAAAGTGAGAAATCAAGTCACCAGGTCTGGGACTCAAACTGCAGTCAGCCATGTGGAAGTCCAACACCTTAACCACCATGCCACCTGCTAGCCCCTATTATTATTATTTTTAAATTGCTATATGGCATGTGAGTTCACCAGAGAGAGAGAGAAAGAGAGAGAAAGAGAGAAAAAGAGAAAGAGAGGTAGAGAGAGAAAGTGAGAAAGCAAGCTACTGGGTCTGGAATTTGAACTGTAGCAGAAACCTCTCCCAAAAAAAAGAAAGCTGCCAGGTCTAAGACTTGAACTGTAGTTGGTCATGTGTGAGTCCAGGGCCCTTAACCACCATGTCACCTGCCAGCCCCTAGTTTTAGTTTTAAAATATATTCATGAGAGGGGCTAGCAAGTGGTGTGGTGGTCAAGGGCACCGGACTCCCACGTGACCGACCATGGTTCGAGTCCCAGACCTGGCGGCTTGCTTTCTCTCCTGTCAAATTTAAATAAATAAATAAAGGTAAATAAAATTATTCTAATCATTCTTTTTTTGTTGTTGTTATAGGGTACGTGCGCTCACCAGAAAGACAGAGAGAGACAGAAAGCGAGAAACCACACCCCCAAGGGGGGATGGCCACGTCGCAATCCCTTTTCCTCCATTCTCCTCTTGGGATCTCGGGCATGCATGCACACATGCCCAATGTGAGTTTAAGCCACCAGGTCCGGGACTTGAGCCACAGTCAACTACATGGGAGTCCAGCAACATAGCCATTACACTACCTGCTGGTCCCAATAAAATAATTCTTAAAAAACAAAAGAAAAAAAAATATATGTATAATCATGAGAAAGTCTAAATCACATGTGTGGCTTACATATTTCTATTAGATAGCTATAGTTTTTATGTCTATCATCTAGTATAACCCTCAAATATAAATCTTTTTGTCTCATTTTATGGGAGGGAGGATGAAAGAAAAAAAGTATCGAAGCCGGCAGATGGTGTGATGGTTGAGGCACTGAACTTCCATATGGCTGACCATGGTCTGAGTCTTGGACTTGGCAACTTGCTTTCTCACTTTCCCTGTCTTGTTCTCTCTGTGTTGCTCTGGTCAAATTGAAAAGAATAATGAATAAATAATTAAATTTATAAAAAAAAAATATTGGGACTAGCAGATGGTGTAATGGCTACGTCGCTGGAATCCCATGTACTTGACTGGGGTTTGAGTCCCGGACCCGGTGGCTTAAACTCACACTGGGCACGTGTGCGTGTATGCACAAGATCTCGAGAGGAGAATGGAGAAGGGATTGCAGTGTGGCCATTCCCCCTGGGGGGTGATTTCTCGCTTTCTGTCTCTCTCTGTCTTTCTGGCAAGCACACATGCGCTATAGCAAAAATCTCTCAAAAAAAAAAAGTATCATACGCCAAATCGTGCACTAGTTGTTTTATATCTACATTACATTGGTTACCTCATTTAACCAATGTTACAGATAAGGTTACAGGCTGAGAAAACAAGCAGCCCATCTAAGGTCACACAAGTAAGACACAATTGGTCTAACTCCATGACCTTCCCTATACTATAGTTCTTTTCTAGAGCAGAGAAGGGACTAAGAATCTAATCAACACACCCTCAAGCACCCACATGGGCCCCTTCCTTCTTTCCACCCACCCCTCCTCGCTGTAGGGTCAGCCCAAGAAATCATGTGGTTGTAGCTGAACTCACCAGGACCTCTCTTATCCCAGCCGCAGATCATGGTACCCATGGATAGACCCATGCCTTTGTACTGATACACCATGTTGGCCAGCAGCTTGGAGGCAGCTGCCACTGAGATGCGTTCTTTATTTCGAAGCTCATAGATTCGACACTGGCGAGCCAACAGACGCTCCCAGAAGCTGCAATCTGCTGCACCCCCGGCCATAGTGCCCAGCAGGTAGGGGTTGATCTCTATCACCTTCTTCACCGTCTGGGAGGCAATGTAAGCACCCGCTGTGGCCCGGGAGTCAGCTGCAACAATGACTCCATGACGGAACTGTTAAGATCAGAGCAAAACACAAAACAAGCTACATTAGACCGCAGAACATCCCTCTGACATTTCGTTTTGCACCTCTGTAAACCCTGTCCTTTTACACTTCCTTGTTTATTAATGTCTCAAGCTTCACATGAATCCCTTGACATGAGTTACACCAGTATTAAATTCACATTAATGAATGGGAAACTGGCTCAACGACACTGAATGACTTGCACAAAACACTGAGCTAGTTATTGCAGAGACAGGCCATGAAAACTCAACTGTCTGGCTCCCAGTACAGTGCTCCTTGAAGTCACCAAGCTCTCCCTCATGCCAATTTGGCTCACCCTTGCCTAGAGGGGTCTATCAGTTTCCAAAACCTTTAGTGAACGGTTACCACAGCCTTCTGCCTATTAAAAGTCACTGTTGCTGCGGTCTCCTTCCCAGCTAGGAGCTCCTGGACAGAAACCCTGGGTCGCCTAGGAATCTACCCAAGCAGCCTCCGGTTCCTTCCCCGATTACTCCCAGCCCCACCGCCTCCCCCTACGGTCAGAACAAGAGCCGAAGTCTCCAGCGCAATGAGACAGAGAAACACTGGGATTGGGACGAGAGCACAGAATCTCCGCCTGGGCCTGCCGGCCACGGGAGCTCCAGTCCCGCTGCAAGGCCGGGAAGGGCGCGGGCGCCGGCAACTCGGCCGGGCAAGGGGACTGATGAATCCGCACCTTGAAGGCCAGAGTGGTGGTTCCATGAAGCATTTCGATTCTTGGCTCCTCTGGGACATCCCAGCTGGGCGCGGCCAGGCTCAGCCCATCACTGGGATTCCCTGGACCCAGGTCCAGCAGATCTGCACGACCCCCGAATCCGAAAAACCCTTGCCGGTTCACCGGTAGCGGCCTCTCCAACACGCTGGCCAGCGCCATGTCTAGTGAGGGCAAAAAGAACTAACTCCGAGGACGCCTAGCAGAGATCGGCCGGGCAACGTCTCGCCGTCACAGCTTCACTTCCTATTAAATCAATTCCAAGGAGGAGCCATTTTGACTCCTGGCAACCACGCCTCCGAAAAACAACAGCTAAATAGAAGGGACTGTTTTCACCTTGGGGGGGAAAATGACTTCCGTACCCTTGAATTTTAAGAGAATGTGGCTGCCATCTCGACTTCGGTCAATGCTAGCAGCACTGGATTGGATTAACCTCATATTCATAGGAATGATTGGAAACGTCCATGGTGAGTGCGAGGGAGGTGGAGGCGGCCATTTTTGAGAAGGGCGTGACTGGTCGAAAATGGGTTCTGAACCCGTGGCGGTAAATCCTGCCCGCGCCGCCGGTGTTCGAGCTACACGTTACGTCTCTACTACTTAAGCGCCCAGTTAACGTGACTGAGGTTGCCATTTTGTTTAAGGACACCCTCCACTGCTGGGTAAATGATGACATACTCTGGGGCCATTTCCCAGTGATATTAGTTAAACTATAATAGTTTGTGGTAAAGAGTCACAGAATAAAAGGGAGGGTTTGGTAGTGTTAGTTGCCACACCACAACGACTTAGTAATCAATTTTTTAAAAAGACTTTTGGCGGGACCAGCAGGTGGGGTGGTGGTTAAGGCGCTGGACACTCCCACATGGCTGACGGGGGTTCGAGTCCTGGACCTGGTGGCTTCCTTTCTCATGTCCTCTCTCTCTCACTCTCACCCTCTGTCTCTCTCTGGTCAAATTAAAAAAAAAAATCAACGAATGAATAAATTAAAAATAAGATAAATAATTATATAAAAAAAGAGATTTTGGCTATAGCGCGTTCGTTCGCTGGACAGACAGAAAACGAAAGATCATGGGGAGGGGGCGGGCAATGGCCACACCACAGTCACTTCTCCATTCTCTAGGGATCTTGGGACACCCAGGCACACGCATGCCTGGTACGAGTTTTTTGGCTTCTTTTGTTTGTTTGTTTGGGATTTTTTGAGAGAGATGTCCCTTCTCCGTTCTCTCGGCATCTTGGGCATGCACGCGCCTGGGGTAAATTTAAGTTGCTGGTCGGGGACTCCAACTGCAGTCAACTACGGGAGTCCAGCGACCTACGCCATCTGCAGGTCCCAGCGCCTGGTATGAGTTTTATGCTGCTGGGCTGGGGACTCGAACCGTGTTGGCTACATGGGAGTCCAGCGTCGCAACCATTACACCATTTGCTGGTCCCAACAGTAATCAAATTTTCAAAAGAATTATTTATTTTAGGGCCTAGCAGATGGCATAATGCTTATGTCCCTGGACTCCCACGTGGTCGACATGGTTGGATCCTAGGACCCAGTGGCTTAAACTCACGCTGGCGTGTGCACGTGCCCAAGATCCTGAGAGGAGATGGAGGAGAAGGGATTGAGACGTGGCCATACCCCCGGGGAGTGATTTCTAACTTACTGTCTCTCTCTGACTTACCATCCGTCAGTGCCCTATAGCAAAAACTGTGAACCAGCAGTTAGCGTAATGGCTATGTCGCTGGACTCCCATGTAGTTAACCACGGTTTGCATCCCGGACCCGGTGGCTTAAAACTCACGCCGGGTGCATGTGCGTGCGTGCCCAAGATCCCGGGAGGAGAATGGAGGAGAAGGGATTGCGGCGTGACCATCCCCCCTGGGGGGTGATTTCTCGCTTTCTTTTCTGTCTCTATGTCTCTCTTTGTCTGTCTGGCGAGCGCAAGCACCCTATAGCGAAAATCTCTCAAAAAAAAAAAAGATAATTATTTATTTTAATTATATTTGTTATTATTTTTAAATTCCCTGTAAGGCATGCATGGTCACCAAAGAGAGAAAGAGAAAATCAGCCAGCAAGCTGCCAGGTCTAGGACTCAAACCACCGGAGCCATAAGGGAATTCAGTGCCCTAAGCACTGTGCTACCTACTACCCCCAGCTGTAATCAATTTTTAAGATTCAATATTCTCTTTAGTCCCATCTTCTGATGGAAATCTAATAATTGCTTAAAAGGCAGCCAGGGGCTGGCAGGTGGCATAGTGGTTAAGAGTGCTAGACTCCCACATGGCCCACCTCAGTTCGAGTCCCGGACTCGGTGGCTTACTTCTTACTTTCTCTCTCTCTATTTAACTTCACTTATTTATTCATTTTCATTTGACCAGAGAGGGACACACAGAGAGAGAGAGAGAAACTGAGAAAGCGAGTCGCCAAGTATGGGACTTGAACCGTGGTCAGCCATGTGGGAATCCAGCACCTTACCAGGACACCACCTGCTGGCCCCAGCCCTCTCTGTCTTTCTCCCTCTCTCACCCTGTTCCTCTCTGGTCAAAAATCTAAATAAAGAGGGCCAGCAGGTGGTGTGGTGGATAAGGGTGCTGGATTCCCACATGACCAACCATGGTTCAAGTCCTGGACCTGGTGGCTTGCTTTCTCGCTTTCCCTTTCTCTCTCTCTCTCTCTCTCCCTCTCTCTCGTTGAATAGAGGGAAAAAACAAAAACAAAAACAATAACAAATGGAAATAAATAAATAATTCTTTTTAAAAAATCTAAATAAATAAAATTAAATAAAATAATTCTTTTCTTCAAGAAAAAAAAAAGGACAGAAGAATAAAGAAAGAAAAGCAAAGGGCCCAATTAATCCACAAACTATAATAGATGCTCAGTTCAACAGCTGAATAATTAAGTCAATAATAATTTACCATCGTAGGACCTGTAGAAGAGTTGAGGCCACATAAAGACATACCAAGAGATTCTCTAACTTCAGCTTGCTAAGACAATGCTCTTTATTCAGGAATGTGCTATATTTTATTGCCTCTTCCTCCCTCCACCCACCCTCATTTTTCAACTCTTTTGGGAACTATAACAAGCCAGGAAGTGGGCATATGCATGAAATGTTGCCTCCTGCTTTATGTTTCTATGAAGTCAGTGTCTGGCCTTCCTTGTTGGATTCCAGCAACAACAATCTATCAACATCTAGATTCTGCTTTCCTCTGATGCGCAGCTCAGCTCCTCTCCCCCAGCAGACTGCCTGTGCTGTATTTTTAAGGCTAAAATTTGGCACCCTTTTCCAAGCCTAACCATCAGAATGTATTGAAGCAGGGGATCTTTATGTCTCACACTTGGATGGTGTGGAAAATGCAGAATGTTTCTGCTTATTGAGCGCATATTATTTTGTAATCACCCCTTGCAATCAACTAGTTCTCCTTCTGACTTTTCAGTGGTTCTTTTTTCTGTTTTCTAGAGAGTTTTTGTTACAGGGCGCATGCACTTGCTGGAGAGACAGAGATAGAGAGATCAAAAGTGAGAAATCACTCTCCAGTGGAATGGCCATGCCACAATCCCTTCTCCTCCGTTCTTCTCTTGGGATTTTGGGCACACAGATGCACACACATGCCTGGTGTGTTTCAAGCCACCAGGTCCAGGACTTGAACTGTGGTCGACTACATGGGAATCTTGTGATGTAACCATTAGGCCATCTGTTGGCTCCTCTTTTTTCTTTTTTTTAAATTTGCTACAGAGAGGGACCAGCAGTTGGCATAATGGCTATGTTGCTGGACTCCCATGTAGTTAACAGTGGTTCGAGTCCTGGACCCGGTGGCTTAAACTCACGGACGCGTATGCGTATGTGCTCAAGATCCCGAGAGGAGAATGGAGGAGAAGAGATTGCGGCATGGCCATACCCCCCTGGGGGGTGATTTCTGTCTTTCTGTCTCTCTGCCCCTCTTTGTCTTTCTGGCAAGCACACATGCCCTATAGCAAAAAAACTCTCCAAAAAAAAAAAAATTGCTACATAGCATGAGCATTCCCCAGGGAGGGAGAGAGAGAGAGAGAGAGAGAGAGAGAGAGAGAGAAATCACCCCCTGGGTGGACAGCCATACCGCAGCTGCAATCTTTCTATCTTTTTCCTCGAGTCTCTTCTTGGGATTTTGGGCACACATGCACATGCACTTGGTGTGATTTTTTTAAGCCACTGGACCTGGGACTTGAACTGCAGACTTGGCTATGTGGGATCCAGACACCTTAACCTCCACACCTCCTGCTGGCCCCCAGGACTGGCGGGTAGCCTGGTGTTAAGGGTGCTGGACTCCCACATGACTGACTGCAGTTCAAGTCTTGGACCTGGTGACTTGCTTTCTCACTTTCTCTCTCTAATAAAATTAAAAAAAAACAAATCAATAAAATTTTAGAATAAGAATTATTTATTTTAATGTTTATTATTCTTCAATTTGGCTAGAGAGGGACAGGTAGACAGAGGCCACAAGGCCTCTGAGAAAGGCCACAAGGTTTGGGACTTGAACCATGGTCAGCCATGTGGGAGTCCAGTGCCTCAACCACCACACCACCTGCTGGCCTTCAGAAGTGTACTTTTTTAAAAAGAATTATTTTATTTAGCTTTGTTTTTCTATCCATTTATTTCATATTAATTTGATCAGAGAGGGACAGAGCAAGGGGGTGGGGACAAGAAAGCAAGCCGCCAGGTTCAGGACTCGAACCATAGTCAGTCATGTGGGAGCCCAGCACCCCTAACCACCATGCCACCTCCTGCCCCCCCAGAAGTATACTTTAAAATATATGTAATTATTGGGACCAGCAATAAGCGAAATGGCTGTGTCCCTGGACTCCCATATAGTCAACTGCGGTTCGTGTCCTGGACCCGGTGGCTTAAAACTCACACCGGGCGTGTGTGTGTGCGTGCCCAGGATCCCGAGAAGAGAATGGAGGAGAAGGAATTGCGGTGTGGCCATCCCCCCTGAGGGGTGATTTCTCGCTTTCTGTCTCTCTGTCTCTGTCTGTCTGGCGAGCGCACGTGCCCTATAGCAAAAACCTCTCAAAAACAAATAAAATATATATAATTATTAATTTTTATGAGAGCACGTACATGCACATGCCACAGACAGAGAGAGAAAGCTCCCTCAACAGGGTCTTGTCATGCTGCGAGTCCCTTCCCCTAGCCCTCCAGCTCCTCAGGATCTCCGGTGTTCACACACATGCCCAGAGCACTTTCGGGCCTACCGGAAAGTTCCAGCCTGCAATCAGTCACGTGACTTCTAGCATTGCCGTCCAGGATGCTGCACCGCCTACCCTCGGCCTATTTATATTTCCATGAGAGAGAGAGGAGGGAGAAACAGCACCTTCCACAGGGTCTTAATGCTGTGCTCGAGTCTCATCTAGCCCTGGATCCTGGAAGCACGTGTGCACAGAGTTACTCAGGGCGGTGTCTGAACACAAACCTGGAACTTCGAGGAGGTGGGTCAACCTCTGAAAGCATCATGTTTTACTGCTATGCCCCTACCCAACCCCTAAAGCAACCATCTGGATTAAAAAAAAAATTATTAAAAAATAATAATAAAATTAAGAAACATGTATTATTTAAATTGGCTGTAGGGTATGTGTGCTCACCAGAGAGTGAAAGTGACTGGCCTTCAGGTCTAGGACTTAAACCATGGTCAGCCATGTGCCTTAATCACTATGCCACCTGCTGGTTTTGGATCTTTGTTTTTTTTTTTTTTTGGAGAAGGTTTTGCTATAGGGCGCATGCGCTCGCCAGACAGACAGAGAAAGAGAGACAGAAAGCAGGAAATCACCCCCCAGGGGGGATGGCCACACTGCAATGCCTTCTCCTCCATTCTCCTCTCGGGACCTTGGGCACACACACACACACATGCCCGTCGTGAGTTTAAGCCACCGGGTCCGGGACTCTAACTGCGGTCAACTATGTGGGAGTCCAGCGACATAGCCATTACACTAACTACTGGTCCCTGGATCTTTGTTTTGATCAAAGGGCACACACACTTGCCAGAGAGAGACAGAGAGGGAGAGAGAGACAAGAAAAGTGAGAAAGCATTCCCTATTGGGGATGGTCATGCCACCGTTTTTCTCCCTAGTTCCTTTTCCTCCGTTTCTCCTTTTGGAATTTTGGGCATGCGCACACGCAGTCCCAGTGTGTTTTTTAAGCCACTAGGTTCGAGACTGGAACCACTTAGTCAGCCATGTGGAATCCAGCGCCTTAACCACCACACCACTACCTGGTCTCTACCTTCTGAATATTTTTAATTTTTTATTAAGAATGATATTATTTAACTTTATTTATTTTAATTTACCTAGAGAGTGACAGAGTGAGAGAGACAGAGGGAAAATGAGAAAGCAAGCTTGTCCTGACCCGGGGGACAGTTGAACAGGTTTCCTGAGGGAAGGAGTGAGAGACGGGATGAATGACGCAGTGTTACAACACAGAGACAACGCGGTGTTACAACTCTTCAGGGTTGTCCGTTTATTGTGGGCAGCACGAAGACACAGTGTCACAACTCTTCGGGGTCGTCCAGAGACGACGCAGTGTCACAACTCTTCAGGGTCTTCTGGAGACTCTGGAGATGTCAGTGTTACAACTCTTCAGGGTCTTTAGGGTTGTCTGGAGACTGTGTGCTAGGGATCATGGTTATATACATGTTGGTGGGCCGCGATTGGTTGTAAAAGGTGGGTTATGATTGGTTGCTTTGTGGACCAATTGTGAGGTGCCGGATATGCAAATCTGAGGGATTCTAGTGGCCAATCAGAGTATCGTTTTGAAGGTGAGGTTTTGAAGGGAAGCCAATCATGGCTTTTATGGGAAGTGGCCAATCAGAGTATGGTTTTGAAGGTGAGGTTTTGAAAGGGAGCCAATCATGGCCTTTGGCATTGTGTAATTGTTTGGTTTCTGAAAAACCGGTGATATTCGCTGGTGTGCAGCCTCCCACACAAGCTAGCAGCTCAGGGACTTAAACCACGGTCAACCATGTGGGAGTCCAGCACCCTTAACCACCATACCACTTGTCGGCCCCTTCTTTTTCCTTTTTAGAGATTTGCTATATGGCACTTGCACTCACTGGAAAGACAGAGACAGAAAGTAAGACCTCACCCCCCCAGAGAGGATGACCACGCTGCAATCCCTTCTCCTTCATTCTCCTGAGATCTTGGGCATGCATGCATATGCACCTGGCATGATTTTCAAGTCACTAGGTCCAGAACACTGAACTGTGGTTTGCCATGTTGAAGTCCAGCGATGTACCCACTATGCCATCTCCTGGCCCCAAGGTCAACATGATTTTCAAGCCACCAGGTTCAGGACTTGAACCCAGGTAGGCCATATGGAAGTCTAGCACCTTACCCACCACACCACCTGCTGGTCCCAAAAGAGGCAGTTTGGATTTTATCTTGTAGTCCTTTAAGTTTTCTTAGCAGAAGAGACAGAATTTGAGTAATGCTGAGGAAAACATGTCCATGTGGAGGATGAGATTGGAGCAGGGCAATGGAGGGTGGCCAGTTAGGCCATTCAACCATCCAGACCTGACTTGATACAGGCCTCATCTAGGGAGGTGGCAGTACACCCATATAAGACTTAGTCTTTTTTTTTTTTTTTTTTTTTTAAAGAGAGAGGTTTGTGCTATAGGGTGCATGTACTCACCAGAGAGACAGAAAACGCAAAATCACGCCCCCCAAGGGGATGGCCACACTGCAATCCCTTCTCCATTCTCCCCTTGGGATCTTGGGCACACATGCACACGTGCCCAGCATGAGTTTTAAGCCACTATGTCTGGACTTGAACTGCTGTCAACTGTGTGGGAGTCCAGCGATGTAACCATTATGCCACCTGCTGGTCCCAAGACAGTCTTTGGGAAGAGGGTATAGTCTTATTTCTTTAGTAACATCTCCATATAGTTCTACCCAAAGGAAGAGAGAAGGAATAGGTGGAGCTTAGCATGCCCTTCTGGTTCTCTGGTCTTCTCATGACATGTTTACATCTGCCCTGGTTACTGAGACCCGCCGGAAACCATGGCCATGGCCCCATCACCATGAGGTCCGGAGGCCATTTTCTTTGAGTGTGAATCTGTTTCTTTAAATATGCCCATTCCCATAGCACCGCCTTGACCTGCAATGTTTAGTCAAATATACTCCATGTGGTGATGGGAGTAGTTACAGCTAGCCTCTCTACCTGAAATGACAGTCTTTCTGTCGTTTTTAGTTTATTTATTTATTATTTCATGAGTGAGAGAGATACGATCCCTCACTAGACAAACACCCCCCCCCCAATTGGTCTAGGACAGATGTAATATTCTAGGGTGAAGGTCAGCTGTTTCTCTTGCCTTGGAACTATTGATACATACCAGTCCCTTGCCATCCCCAGTCAGTACAAACGGGACCGGGGAAGGGGCCAGCAGATCCTTTCAGCTACATCCTCAGGGCTTTAACAGGTCCAGCTAAACCGCCAGAGAACTCGGGAGTGCCGTCTTTGTATGCAGAGAGCAGGACATGTTCCACCCAAAGCAGAAGAGACTGAGAGCTCCAGGTTCTAGTTCCCTTAACTTCTCAGGAAGTAACCTGCCTTTCTGGAAGGTATTTTCTGCCTCCTCCATTACAAAACTATCTTGCCCCTTTCTCTTTTGGCCCTGCTTCAATCCATTTTTCTTTCTCCATTTTGCCCATGAGTTGAAAGTGTAAGCTGATAATAAAACATTTTTTAAAGAATTATTCATTCATTCATTTATTTATTTTAATTTGACCAGAGAGAGAGAGGAAAGCAGAAAAGCAAGCCACCAAGACCAGGACTTGAACCATGGCCAGCCATATGGCAGTGGTCAGCGCCTTAATCACCATGCCACCTGCTGGTCCCTGATAATAATGTATATATATATTTTTAAAGAAAGTATAAGCTGATGAAGCCAGCTGGTGGTGTAGCAGTTAAGGCAGCTGGATCCCACATGACCAACTGTGCAGTTTGAGTTCTGGACCTTGCAGCTTGAAAAACATGCCCAGTGTGTGTGTGTACCCAAGATCCTGAGAGGAGGGAGAAATGGAGGAGTTGCATTGTGATTATTTCTGAATGGGGGTGCTTTCTTGCTTTCTCTCTGTCTCTCTTCGGCAAGTGTACATACCCTCTGGCAAAACTTAAAAAATAAAATAAAATAAAATTTAAAAAAAAAGAAAGAAAAGAAAAGAAAGTGTGAGCTGAGACTCTTGAGTTTTCTGAAGAGGGTCCTCAGTGTTAAGCTCTCTTGCCTCAGTGGGCCCTTCTTACCCTATCAGAGCACAAGAAAGCAATAGGAGCCCTCTGCTCCTTCCATTTCCTTCGCAGTGATCAGGCCCCCGGCTCACTCCAGGTAGTGGGGGGATGACAGACAGGCGACTCCTTGGGTGACTCTCAGATGCGTCATGGGCTGCTGGGCTGCGGAGGGTGAGGTTCTGATAGCCGTGCCAGCGTCCTCCCAGCACTTGCCTGCACTGGCCTCCTCCTGTCTCCCGGGCTGTCCTCTGAGGAGAAGGGGGCTGCTCTGTCAGCCAATGCCCAGGCCTGATTTGGGGCTGGGGGGAATGAAGCCTCTGGTCACACGCTTTCCTCGCTGGCTCTGGCTGCAGCCCAGCTTCTCCTCCGCGTCCCTCTTCCCCCACCTGACTCCAGCCCACAAAGCCCTGCCCCACTCCTTTCAGATTCATTCAGCCCCAGGATGGCTCTGCAGGATGTGTGCAAGTGGCAGGCCCCTGACACCCAGGCACCATCCCCTCACCTGCCTCAGGCTGGTGGCTGGGCTGTGCCCCGAGGCTGTGACCCTCAAGCTTTCCTGCAGAGCCATGGCCCTAGGCTGGCCCACGGCACTACCACCCTGGCCTTCCGCTTCTGCCACGGTGTCATCGCGGCAGCCGACTGTGGCAGCTACGTGGCCTGTCCAGCCTCGCGCAAGGTCATCCCTGTGCACCGGCACCTCCTGGGGACCACCTCTGGCACCTCTGCCGACTGTGCCACGTGGTACCGGGTGCTGCAGCGGGAACTGCGGCTTCGGGCGCTGCGGGAAGGTCAGCTGCCCAGTGTAGCCAGCGCCGCCAAGCTCTTGTCGGCCATGATGTCCCGCTATCGGGGGCTGGACCTGTGTGTGGCCACGGCCCTGTGCGGCTGGGACCGCTCTGGCCCTGCCCTCTTCTATGTCTACAGCGACGGCACCCGCCTGCAGGGGGACATCTTCTCCGTGGGCTCTGGCTCCCCCTACGCCTATGGCGTGCTGGACCGCGGCTACCGCTACGACATGACCACGCAGGAAGCCTACGCCCTGGCTCGCCGCGCCGTGGCCCACGCCACCCACCGCGATGCCTACTCAGGGGGTTCCGTAGACCTTTTCCACGTGCGGGAGAGTGGATGGGAGTACGTGTCACGCGGCGATGCCTGTGTGCTGTACGCGGAGCTGCGGAAGCTCCCAGAGCCGGAGCAGCAGGAGGAGGCCAGCCAGGCCCGCCCGGAGCCGCCAGGCTCCCGCTCCCGTTCTGGGGAGCTGGGGAAGGAGAACTCCCTGCCCGGCGTGGGAGTTGACACCAGGAGACTCCAGGATGCCAGCAGAGACTGAGAGGCTGTGAGAAACTGCAGGCCTTGGGGGACCCAGCCAGGGAGTGGGTGGGAGGCTGGGGCAGCAGTGGGAGGCCCTGGGCTGCCGGCCCAGCCCTTTCAGGTCTCCAGCTTCATTTGTTCCAAGTCTCTGTCCTTTCTGACCCCCAGGGTTTCTGACGGCTCTGGCCCACATGTTGGTATTGAGCCCAGTGAGTTGGGCCAGCCTCCCTCACAGCACCAAGTCTGCCATGCCCCATGCCATGCTGGGTGCTAGACCCTCTTTTCTTGTCATCCTCTTATCTGTTCTGCTAATCCCTCCCAAGCCTCTCTCCCTCCCTCCCATCGTGGTCCACTACCTGTCTGTTTCCGAGTCTTGGTCTCTTTCTCATCTGTGAGGTAAGGCGGCCGCAGGGGAACCTCTCCGAGGGGATGGTAGCCCACCGGTGCCTAGGATGGAGAGGGATGCCCCTTGGGTATGGTGGGCCTGTCTCAGCTGTCCTCTGCCTTGACTGCTCCTTCACTGCACGAGAGCTCATGCTGATTCCATTAGGTAAAGTGGGCCTCACTCTGCAGAAGATTCCTGTTCAACATGTTGACTCGACTTGCTGCAGGTCACCCAGTGAGTGGTGGAGGTGAGGCTGTCTCCCAGGCCTTCCCTTCCAGAGCCTGTGTTCTTTCAGCACAGCGTCCCGGACACTTCCCTCTCCGGCCTCTCTTCCCTGTAGGAGCCAGGCGAGTGGCATAGAGAGAGGAGCTGGGCCAAGGCCCTGGGGCCAGGGAGGAATGAGCCCCACCGAGGAGTGGCGGCCACGGCCTGGTTGGACGGCTCAGGGACGCTGACAACACCCGCTGTACCACCACCAGTCTCTTCTGGCCCTGTCTGCGAGGGCCTGGAGCCATCCCCACAGCCCGCCCTTCCTCTCTAACCTACCGCTGCC